TAGAAATAAGTGCTATATTCCTAATGAGCACCCCCAAATACCTCAAAAATGATACCCATATTGCATTTATTTCAAAAGTCCTGTCCGCCATCTAGGATTTAGAAATAAATGCCATATTTTTGATGAGCACCTCGAATACCTCGAAAACAATTCCCATTTTGCGTGTCCGCCATCTTGGATTTAGAAATAAATAAATAAATAAATGAGAAAAGTCGTGTTCGCCTTCGTGTATTCAGATATAAATTCCATTTCCATAAGGATTACCAAAAATAAATTTTTGAAAATTCCTGTCACTTGATGTTGTCGATCAACAGTAACGTTCGACAAAATCGAGCATATCTGTAGGCACCTGATCGAGATTGTCGATCGACAAAATCGAGCAAATCTGTAGGCACCTTTAACTTAATGATGAGTTAAGCAAGATACAATTTCCACACTTTTGAGGGAAATGTTATTCCATGGCATCATTATTTGTACGAGTATATTTGTGTGCGTGCCGACGAGCGTAAATACAAGTTACTTACGCCTACATGAATTTGATTTTTGCCTCACTTGTGACAGTTCGTTTGATATGAAACTATCATTCTATGCGTTATTATTCTAAGCTAATCTGTATAACTTATAAACTTTACAGGTTATCTTGAATAATCTTATTGCATAATGAACTGTATATTAAATAAAAGTTTTAAAAAAATTAAATGATAATTGATTAATAAAAGATTAACAATGAAAAATAATAATAATTAATAACAATTTTCAGGAAAAATAAACAATTTATTATTTATATCGCTTGCCCTATCCCGCATAACATAAGTTACTTTGTCAACGTCAGGCGCTCATTGATGTAGAACGACCGTGGTGCAGACTTCAATCCCAGGCCCTCAGTGGTGAGATGACGACGTACACGCGCTGCCCGCAGCATGGCATCACGCGTATCGTGTCGGGTCAGCCGCAGGACAAGCGGCCGCGGCCGCGCGCCCGCCTCGCGTCGCGGGGCGCCCGCGCGCGCACACCACACCACTTCACGCTCGTCCAGCTGCATGCCGAGCTTAGCGGCACAGGCCAGCGCAATGTGGATGGGGTTCTCCCCATTTTCCTCCGCCACGCCGCTGAGCTCGACCTCGTTCAGAAGCAGCTCCTGATTGCGATCGTTTAAATCTTGCTGCAATCTCTCCACATTCGTTTCCAGCGCCTGGATGACCTTAGCAAAACTGGAGTCAGTCCCAGCACCACCCGCCCTCTCCTTCAATATCGTTTGCACCGTTTCCTCCATCTTGTCCAGACGATTCTCGCAGGAGCGCACCATCGATCGTAATTCAAAAAGGTCCTGACGCAGGCCTTTAAGCTCCTCTCTGGTCTGACTCATCTCCAGGCGGAAAGCTCGGAGTTCACAAGCGAGACTCGGTTCCTCCGAGTCTCCTGCAGTCTCACATAGCCGCCGTGAGTCAGTGTTCTGAGCTTTTGGAGAGCTGCTTCGTACATCCTGCATTTTGACAGGAGTGTTATCCTGGTTGCTCCTGGGCTGTCTGGATCTACAGTCTGGGCAGGCTGTCATTTTTGCGCATTCCTAGACATTCTCTGTTATATTGTTTTTTACACATAGGACATGCGACATTTGCGCCCTCTACCGTTGGAATAAATTTGCAACACGCACTGCACTTAACCACCACATCGAACGCAGATAAGGACAGTAGGGTCACTAAAGAGTGCAATTAATTTCCGCGAGGGGTCGCTGTGCCTACTCTAATTTATGACACTGACGAAATGTTAATGTATTTGGCGGTATTTAATGTTTTTTTGATTTATATGATACCTTATGAATATACTAAATAATAAATATTACCGAAGTGAAAAATAGTTTTAATGTTGTAAATCTCGTGATTATTTCCACTCCCGTATTATAGTATCGACACTGAAACTGACACGGTTCTTTATTTATAAGTATTATTTGTGAACAGTACTGCTTACTATTTTTATTTTGGAAATAAGCGAGCGACACTCAAAAACGCAAGTAGCCACACAGACGTCCGTGACGTCACTCCCTATAATATCTATCCAAGTCGATAGTCCATCTTCTCCTCCCGTCCTTCCAAGTCAGCATTTGCCGGAAAATAACAACTTCCCTCAAAACATTCATCACAATGTCATCATGGTTCCATGTGAAACACAAATATAAAAGATTAATTAACCTAGTAGAAACTAAAAAAACATTAAATTACCTCCTATAGAACGCTTTCATTCTATTCACATGGACTAGATCCTGCCTACCCGATCTATTCCTATTTACACCTACTTTTCTCACAATATAATTATTAACTATACTCGACCGATGCACTACCCTAACTTCCGCGTAACATATCTCCTAGATATCAATGCAACCCTATCTTTTTTATCAAATTTTCGTTTCCGCTTGGATTGTAATAATATTAACTCTTTAGTTTCTAATGTCTATTTTGAACTTTACATTTGATAGTCTTTTAGTTCATTGTTGTCAAATATTTTTGTGGAATAAAACCGTTATTCTAAAGGTTTTATCTTATTTATCAATTATCTATCCATTCTTTACGAGAATCTATCGAGGATGCTCGTTTTATAAACTTGCCTTGTAAATTCTCCGCAACACTTACGCGAACAGGTTTAAAAATGTCTCTTTCAGAATTATATTTTATATTTACCTTCGGCAAAACATATTTAAATTTTATTTTCTTCTTCTTCTTTTAAATGTTATGGCCCCATCGAAATAATCAATGATTTTGCCAATGTCAAGTAAAAATAACTATGTACGGTAGTTTAGTATTATTATAAAAATTATACAAAAATAATGGCGATTTCGCCAATGTCCATATAAATTTCGTTTTTGACGCTTTGTACGTACAATGTTCTTTAATATTATTTCCGTTTTTACTTGACTTACAAATACAATATTAGGGTTATCGTGCGGTCCAAGCGTGATCTCGCTTTATTTACCCGTGCGAATGAGAGAGCTACAACTGCGTGGCGGCTGTCGCGGCAGTGAGGTGGGATGAAATTTGAATTCGAGTAGTGTACTCTTAACGGGAAATCATTTCCTATGTACTATTTAATAAACAAAAAAACAAAATATTGAAGAGATTTATGTAAAATAAATAAGTTCAACTTAGCTTTTAATCATTACAAATCAATATAACACAATAAAACTGAAAATAATATTGTTTCCATTGCATCCGTGTAACTATTTTAAAATTGCTAAATTTGACATAAGAACAATATTATTTTAATGTTAAAATCGTGTCATAGCACGAACTGACTGCGTGAATAGTCACAATGCTAAGAATAAAACTTCATAGTATTAACATTACAATAAGCTTACTTTCAGCGTGTCATGTGTACGAAAAGTTAATGTAAGATTAAAGTAATATCGTTTTATGCGGTTGTGGTAGGCCCCTGTGTTTTACGTTTTACTGGTATAGTCGTCACCAAATAAGAGGCCAAATTTGACACTTGTCATCGTGACGCGAATAGGGATGTGGTCTAATCATATCGCTAATCACATTAAACGATTTTCACGAGAAATCGATCCAAAATCTTAAGAGTTTGTGATTGTTTAGATTATTTTTCGGTTCGTTGTTGTTCAGGCCAAAAAAAGGCCAAATCGTGCAATTCTGTTATAAACAATTCAAATCCTCTTATTTTCGTAAAATTGTCCCACATTCCGGTGAATTGTATCCAACCCTTTTAATTTTGATTTTATAATATTCATAAATGGTTTATTACGAGAATTTAATGTAAATAAGTATGTACATCAGAGAAACAACTACATAAAAAGATTAAATTACCAAGAAACCAAGGATTTTATAAATTTTCAATTATTCGGCTGGCACTCAGTTAGAAGTTGTCAATGTCAACAACAAACAGTCCCAACTATTGTTCATAATTTTATCTATTTTTTTTAATATTTTTTTTATATTTTAATCGAAGTGACTCGGTGAAATTCGGCGATTAATTGCTTACAACACGATTATTATAAAAAAAAAACTTGAGTACGTCACTGTTTTCAGGACGTTTCGGGATAATTCGAAATTGCATTTTATTTTCAATTCGTGCGAAAACAGTATTTCAAATATATTTTGTCATATTGTATAATGTTTCAATAAAATTTGTGTGTTTTTTAAACTCAATTATGCTAATAATTGTTTGTTTATTGTTTCATTGATCGCATTCAAAGTTACATACTATCGCCATCTTTAGCTGTCAAATTTGGCCTCTTAATTGGTGACGACTTTAGGGTCGTATTCCTAGTCGTATTCCAGAACTCTACCCTTAGAGCCTTACAAATAATATTACGGTTCAATCTTTTTCTACAGTACGTTATTAATTAAACTGCTCTATTTGTGTGGCAAAAAGCCACGCCTACAGCAAAACGTGTTGTAGCCAATGCTCAATTAAAAAGAAAAAAGAAGAAAGTGAAAATATTAAATTCGTTTTTCTTCTAAATTTTTTTAATTTCCTTACAAAAGAAAGCAATATCAGTGGTTTGATTATGAAAGTAATATGTGTTAATATCTAGATTACTTTGTGTGTATAATATTAGCTTGTGGTCGTCGTGAACGGTGAATACCGTTACTCCACATTTATGAATGTGGGAATCTTCAATAGAGTTAACAATAAGGTGAGGTTTTCATTAATGAACTTGGAGAATTCCTTACAGGTCGCGAGTCTCTTACAAGAAGGGCATTTACCTCATATTTACTACTTCTATACGCACATGACCCTGTCTGACAGCAGTGCAGTGCCTATGTTATAGTTGACTTAACTTTTTGCCCGATTTTCTCCGTATTTAATTATTGCCACAGTCACGGCAGTGTATTAATAATGTATATTAAAATGTGTTGTGTTTTTCCTTAAAATAGTTTACGTTGCGCTTTGTACACCATGTAATGTGAAAACGCATAAGTACATATAGCGTAATATAGCAAAAACAATGGAATTTTGTTTAGTTTGACCTATAAGTTATAGTAACAATGGATTTCAGCAATATGGTATGTATATCCACATGGATCTGTTCAATACGGTGTATTTCTAGTAACAGCACATCCTATAACAAAATATGTCTGTTCAGTAGTAGAATCATTAACTATATCTATATAGTAACTATAGCTCATTTTTGCTAAGCCTCGTAGGTGAGTAGTTTTATCTTATGGTGCAGTATAATTATTTCAAGAGGTATGAAATTTCAAAAAGTATTTAATTGATATTTAGTGGTTTTAACCATTCTATGTAGTGTAATAATAATAATTTACATATACATGTAGACTATACATATATCTACTCATTTGGAACAAATACCCTATTCTGACTATTGGTGGTATGACATGAAATATATTCCTATTATATTGTAAATACAACAAACAAAGTATATAGTTAAAATAAATGTTGTTGTGTGTGGCTATGAATGAACAAAATTTTCTTAACTGGACACAACTAAGACAAATTCGTGTAAAAAAAAAGAAAAGTAATTTAAATAATAAGCTAACCCCATTTTATAAACAAAGCTTCCGCCTTATTACAACACTGTAATATGATCAATATTTTTCTTCTTTCATAACAGAACAACAACTGTGGCGGCGGCATGTACGCAGAGTGGAGCTCGCTGCCACTGGAGGGAGGAGGGCGGGGGGTGTTAGGGGCAGTCGGTGGGCGGGATGTAGTGTTGGCTGTGGTTCGACAACTTGCATCCCATGAACCTAGCCCACTTAATACTGATGCTGAGGTAGTTTTATTTACAATTTACTGGTTTCATTTTTAAATGCATGCATTAACTGACGAGTTTGCATGTTCACAAGAACTAATTGTTACAATACATAACCTTGCTGCTTTTCTGCAATTGCCATTCTGTCTGGCGAAACTACAAAGTCCACTTTTCGAAATACCTGTGTTCAATTGTGAATAGAACTATATGTATGTTAATACTAAGTATTTAAAAAATTACTCTAAACTCATTATGAAATTATTAACATTATGAAAACATCTCTGATCTAAACATGTCTTGGTTTTGCAGGTGGAATGGGTATTAGAAGTTATTCGCTTTGGTCTGTCTCTACCTCTTCATGAACATGAAGCCTTACGTGATTGTGTTCGAGTATGTTGTTCTTGGCTTTCGCCTCTGCTACCCCCCGCGCCGCCCGCGCAGCCTCCGCCGCCTGCTGTACCGCCTCCAGTGGCAGCGGCTCCAGCTAGATATGCTAGAAAGATACTGAAACATCTCCATAATCTTTTTGTGCCAAGACCAAACGAGAGTAAGTTTTTAAAACTTCTATAAATTAACTGGGGAGCTAATTCCTGTAACTTAATGGGTATAATAATCATGTGCAGATTGACCAACTTATCTGTAATGACTTGCGGTGTTTGAGTATATTTCCAACTTGTCTAGAATTAGTTTCTTTGAACACCACATTAGAAATAAGTTGGTCTACAATTTTTGACATTTTTCTATACAAAAACCGAGAAATTGCAACAACACATTACCACGAATTTTTCTCTCTTTTACTTTGAAGCTTGTAATGCAATAATGACTATTATAATATTGTTATTTTATACTCTTATTTTTTCTCTATTCAGATCTGACCTGTAGCTAATCTGTAGATAAAGCTTTTGCCTGCACTTTAATTAACACCACAATTTTCTTTTCCAAGCACTCACATTCGTTTACCAATTGGAATTAGGTAAGTTATTATGTACTACTAACCTAGGTAGTATATTCCTATCTATATTTTTGTAAAACATAGTTATCTATGTAACCCCATCAAACTGTAGACAATTTTAAAGTTCTTGGAGGCACTAACAATTTTGTTATTTTATTAATGTTCTTACTGGCGAATTTCACTGTAACAAATTACCTGGGCTTATTTTTCTGGATATCCAAACAAAATCCGTGTGGCAACTCCTTTTGTTTTATAAGGCCAAACATTTATAGCACCGGACTATTATGTTTTGTTGCTCTGCCGAGTTTACCTTGTTAATCTTTACTAGCAACTGCATAACTTAAAAAAAATGTGTACTATATTTTAATTCTTTTAGTGACTGTTAGGGGCTGTGCAATTGACCATAGTAAATGGTCCAATAATTGATACACTTGCTTGTGGCTATCAACTCGAATAATCATGAATTGGCTTTGAGGTGTTGTTTTTAGAAAGACATTTAAAACATGGTACTTTCTTGTATAGGTGGGGACCTAATCAGCAAGCAAGCGGTCCTCTGTCACCGTGTCTTACGTCTCGCTCGCAATCTTGCCGGCAATGCGAACCTTGGAGCTAGCGAATGGCGGTCATTATTGCTGTTGTTACTCTCAGCAGCTTCAGCATTGCTGTCTCCACCTGCGCCTCATCATTCTGCCGCTGAACAGTTGTGTGAACGGGTGCTCTGTGTACTGTTTGAAGTTTGGATACTTGCATGTCACCGGTAAGGAACTTCCAAATATGTAAATCGCTTCTTGCACCATTTTTTTTTTGTATAAGTGATTGGACGAACAAGTCGTGCGCCTGAGGATAAGCTACACGCCTGTCCATGGCAGTTGCAGTGCCACTCAGAGCTTTAAATCGCAAAGATCTGAGGGGCATGCCACTGCACCCGTCACCCTGAGACACAAGTTGACAACTCCCATGTGCTTGTAATTTCACCAGCGCCCTTATCCTTCAAAACCGGAACACAGCAATGCTGACATTACTGCTTGGCGGCAGAAATAGGTAAGATGGCAGTACTTCCCTGGATGTACCCTTTCACAAGGAGCTTTTGCAAAATAGTTGCAAGCGATACTTTATGTACTGTTTGAAAGTATGCATGTCACATATATCTGAGCCATTTCAAGTAACTGAAACTAATTGTATTGCGGGAAGCAGTGACTCTGCAGTTCACATTATCTGTTTCTCGCTTGTTTAAATTAAGATTCAAAGAGAAACAAGCAGGCCCGTCTACTGTTAGGATTAAATAGATTCATTTTATGGTCACACTTATAACATATGTACGTTGATTGTTAATTTGCATTCCGTGCGACCTGCTTATCACTCGTAACAATCAGTTTCTATACAATTTCCACCTCGCGCCGCATTGTCGATTTTCTGCCATATTCAGCTTCATGGACACTTAGCCACACTACCACAGCAATTTACCTGGTTTCAGACTAGGGAATTCCCTGTATTATGAATGACAAAGGTAGTGCCCCAAGTGAATTCCGTTAATTCACTTGGGGCACTACCCAGGTTATCCAATACGGAACCAATTTGGAAAAATTCATTTCTTAAGGAAAAAAAGGGGGACCTCAGCAGGGGACCTCATACAGAGCCCATTTGGCTTAGGTAGCTAAATGGGTCATCAAATACTATTATACTATTATTATTATATAAATAAAGCTACAAGTTCTTACGTGATAGAAATAGAACGCATACTTCCCGATATGGTGGAAAAAAAATTATACCGTTGTACGCGGATAGGCTCCAAAGCAAAGAATCAAATATGAGGGGACCTGAATATGGAAAGTATGAAAGAATGATCAACGGCCTGCAAAAACTATAATATACGGAGGGAGTATTTGTGCATTTTTATGAGGTACACCATGGTCAATTTCCGCGGGAAGTAAAAAATGTTCGAAATTCAATTAAATAAGATGGCCGCCATACAAATTTCAAATCTATCACGGAAACTAATAGAGATAGGAGGGAGGTGCTTGAAGGAATATCATAGAGGCTAACACTGGTTAACTGCCTGAGTTAAAAAAATTCAAGATGGCGATTTAAAAATGGCAACCGAAGAAAAACTTACTTCGAAAATTGGCATGCAAGGGACTTTAGGGGTCGTATTCTAGAACTCTACTCAATGCTCAAGTCAGGATTTGAGTATGGTTTAAAGCACTCAAGTTCCTGCCATTAGGGTCGTATTTCCAGTGCTTGTGTTTCCAGTGCAATCCTAACTTGAGCATTGAGTAGAGTTCTAGAATACGACCCTAGGAGTCCTTAATCATAATTTGGGGTCAAAAGTTTATTTTCGCTATTTTTTAATATGGCTGCCTTGTAAGTGTTTTCTTCATTAAAAATAGGTGCTGAAAGAGATTTGCTCTGAATCGGCTGAAAATTTGCATGTGAAGGCCTTTAGAAGTGCCGGATAATAATTTGTGATCAAAATTGGTTTTTCGCCATTTTTCAATATGGCCGCCAAACAAGCGTTTATAAAAATTAGCTCTAATTCAACTGAAACTCGGTATGTGGGGGGTCTCTATAAGTTTTTGATTATAATTTGCGGACAAAATTTATTTATTGCCTTTTTTTCAATATGGCTGCCATACAAACTGTGGGTTACCTACCGGGTGATAGATAATGGAAAAGTCTTGTTTATAGTCTGGAGGTAGGTTTATTGAACAGTTACCACACACATAAGTACATAAGTCACCAGCACAGAGAACAGCACTTAGCAGGCAGGCGATAGTGAAGTGAAAGCACAAGCAGGCACTGGATAAAGCTTAGGAGGCAAGGAAAGCGTCAGCACGTAAATAGGCGCGCGCGCAGCAAAGCGACGTAGGGACGATGCGAGTGTCTAGCGGCGACTGGTTCGGGCGCGCACGCAGTGGCCGCATGCTCTCGGCGCTCGTGACGGCGCAGGGCCGTACTCGATGCAGGGCCGGAATTGGTGTGGTTGAGTGGTCCCACACTATTCCCCCGCCGAGACCGTAACTACGGGCGAAAGTAATCTGGAAATCTTACATGACGCCCTGACCTGGTGGTATATTCTGTGTTCTTTGTATTGTGTATAGCTGTGTCGAGCTTCTGCGGGTCATCTTTCAGTAGGTATGCTGGCTTGAGGCGGTCTATGGACACCGTTGTATTCTTACCTTTGATGAGGATGATGAAGGTTTTCGGTGTTCTATGGAGAACTTTGTACGGGCCCGAGTATGAGGGTTGTAGCGGCCTTCTTGCAGTATCGTCTCACAAGAAAACAAAGTCGCTAGTGGCCAAGTCCTTAAATATGAAAATTGATTTTTCGGTATGGCGTGAGGTGGGCGTCGGCCTGATTTTCTGTGCAAACGTACGTATGCGTGAAACGTAGTCGGATATGTCTACTATGGGTTCTACGTTCACATTAAAAAATTCGTTCGGAAGACGGAGTGGTTCGCCGTACAGTAGCTCGGCAGCTGAGGCTTGGAGATCGTGTTTCCAGGCACTGCGTATTCCTAGCAGTACCATTGGTAGAGATTCCGTCCATTGTCGGTCCGCGTGGCATGTAATTGCTGATTTCAGTTGGCGGTGGAATCTTTCGACGATGCCGTTACAGGCCGGGTGCTATGCTATCGTCGTTTTATGTTGCGAGCCGGTAAGTGCAGTTAGTGCGGAGAATAGGTGCGACTCGAACTGCCGACCTCTGTCGGTGGTTATGCTCTTGAGGCAGCCGTAGCGAGATATCCATCCTTCTAGAAAAGCCTTAGCGGTGGTTTCGGCCGTGATGTCGGCGAGTGGTATCCTCTGGGCACCGTGTAATTCTATCGATGGCTGTGAGGGCATAGCGAAACCCGTTGGAGAGGGGTAATGGTCCTATTAGATCGATATGAACTTGGAGAAATCTGGCAGGGGGTAGTAAGAAGGTTCCAAATGGAGAAGATACGTGTCGGCTGGTCTTTGAGCGCTGACACGGTAAGCAAGTTTTGCTCCATGCTCGGCAGTCTTTGCGCATTCCTGGCCAGACAAATCTCTGTGTGACCAGTTTGATTGTCGCGTTTGCCCCGGGGTGGCTTAGGGAGTGCATAGCGTCGAACACTTGGCGTCTCATGGATTCTACTACGAACGGCCTGGGTAACGGGGTCGTCGTGTCGCAGTACAAAGGCAGATTTGAACTTGACAATTTGATCTTTTGCAGGTTTAACGCTGATCCTCCTTGAAGTAGTTTAAGCAGCTCTGGGTCGTCTTCTTGTACCTTAGCCAAAACTGCGTAATCTACGGCGGCTACGGCCTCGATTCTGGACAGTGTGTCGGCGACCACGTTGTCATCGCCTGATATATGTCGTAAGTCTGTCGTAAATTGTGCGATGTAATCCAGGTATCTGAACTGACGCGGAGAGCATGTGTCACGCCTGGACTGAAAGGCGTGCGTAAGGGGTTTGTGGTCGGTGTATATTGTGAACACCCTTGCTTCCAACATGTATCTGAAATATTGTATTGACTTGTAGATTGCCAGGAGTTCTCTATCTTATGGACTATACTTAGCTTGAGTGGGAGATAGTTTTCTGGAGAAGAAAGACAGCGGTTCCCAAGCTTCGTTTTTCAGTTGCTGCAGTACTGCTCTGATCGCTGTGTCCGAAGCATCGGTGACCAAGGACAGCTTTGCGTTGCTCTCAGGGTGTGCTAGCAATGCTGCTTGACATAGCCCATTTTTACAGTCTTCGAACGCCTGTTGAGCCTCTTCCGAAAACTGTATGGGCTGTGAATTTTTAACGGGGCCTTTCAGGAGAGCGTTTAGAGGTGCTTGTCGTTGGGCGGACCGTGGTACAAATCGATGATAAAAATTAACCATGCCCAGGAATCTCCTGAGGTCTCTGATGTTCTTGGGTTTTGGAAATCTTCTTATGGCTTCGACTTTTTCTTCCAGGGGCCTTATTCCGTCTTTCGAGATGTTGTAGCCCAAGAACGTGACTTCTTCTACTCCTAGTTCGCATTTCGACGGGTTGTGGAGCAACCCGTACTGATCAAGACGTGTGAAAAGCTGGCGTAGATGGCATTCGTGCTCTTGTCGGTTGCGTGAGTATACCAAGATGTCGTCTAAGTAACCATAACAAAAATGGAGGTCTCTGATGACTTCGTCTATGAAGCGTTGGAACGTTTGGCCAGCGTTGCGCAGGCCTAATGTCATCATGGGGAATTCGTATAGCCCAAATGGTGTAACTATGGCCGTTTTAGGGATATCTGGTTCGTAGATCGGTATTTGGTTATATGCTTTGACCAAATCCAATTTTGAAAACACGGTAGCGCCGGCTAAGTTTGCGTTGAAGTCGTGAATGTGCTTAATTGGATATCTATCTGGCACTGTTCTTGCATTTAGCGCGCGGTAGTCGCCGCATGGTCGCCAGCTATTGGGGGAAGGTGATGACCATGGGCTATCCGATGGGCGAGTGGTGCCGTTCTTCAACATTTCCTCGAACTCTCTTTGGGCTATACGGAGCTTGTCGGGTAGTAGGCGTCTTGGTCGGCTGGATACCGTAGGCCCTGGTGTGGTCTTTATAAAGTGCACCGTGTTGTGTTGGTTCCTGATGCCTGATGATTTCTGATGGTCTCGTTATGTTGGGGTACTCGTTCAGGACTGTGTGGAATGTTGTATGTCCGTATTGTGTACTGCGAGTTTTAATCGACCAGACAGTCTCTGAAGGCTTGACCGGGGCGGCGTTAGTGGTCAAGGATGTTACTCCGTCGACGAGGCGCTGGTAGCGGCAGTCTACTAGCAGGTTGTAATGAGAAAGGAAGTCGGCGCCGATTATGGGTTTCGTTACTTTTGCCACGACGAACCTCCACGTAAACTCGCGGCGTTGTCCAAAGTCCAGAGAAAGGTGAGCGAAACCATCGGATCCCGTGTCCACCAAGTACTGGATCTTTGTTTTGCGGTCAGTAGCGAAAAGGCGGCCGGATGAAGAGGGGCAGTCGCTGGCGGCTACTGCCGGCTGCCCGAAGCGTTTCCCGGTTTGTAGCTGCAAGGGTGATTGCACTTTTTGGCCTCGTCGCCGAACTGCCAGTGATACCAGCACAAGCGCTGACCGGACGGCGATCGCCTCCACGATGAGCTGCGGCGGCAAGACTGCAATTGGCCTCGGTTATTCTGCCGTCCCCTGGTTGATAATTCCGCAATGCATTTGGTGAGTTCTGCGATTTGCTTTGTCATTTCTGTTATGTAAGGTGGAATGTCGCTGTGGCTCGTGCTGGCGGCAGCTATCTGGGGTGATGATGGAGCCAGCTCGTAGATTTTGTCGGCTATTTCAGAGGTCTTTGCTAGGGGAGTTTCTGAGTGCATCGCCACTATTGTCTGGACGTTGTGCGGTAAGCGGCTCGACCACATCGTCCGTATAAAGTCTTCCGGTACCGTGGGTCCTGCCAAACTCTGGATACGTCTTAAAATTCGTCTGCGATGGTGTGCGGTCACCTAGCTCTTCGAGGCTGAGAAGTTGTTTTATTTTCTTTTCCTGGGATGATGATAGTCGTCTTATTAGCTCTGCCTTAATTTTCTGGTATTTCCCGGCGCCTGAATGACATCTAGAACTTCAGCAGTGTATTGGTTGCCCAACTGTGAAATTACGTGGTAGAATTTTGTCGTGTCGTCATTGATTCTCGCCAAGGCGAACTGAGCCTCCAGCTGTGCGAACCACACATCTGGTCTGTCGGCCCAAAATTCAGGTACCTTAACCGACACTCGAAAGAGATCCCTCTGCGGTTCGTCTGAGTGCGGCCCTGGTGAAGCGCGCTCCGACGGCGGTGTTTTGAAGCCGTCTTTGTTTTCCGCCATCTTGGAATATACACGAGCTTAGTTCGGTGATTCACGTGGTAAATGTCCTTCGCGGGGTCACCACTGTGTGGGTTACCTACCGGGTGATAGATAATAAAGAAGTCTTATTTATAGTCTGGAGGTAGGTTTATTGAACAGTTACCACACACATAAGTACATAAGTCAACAGCACAGAGAACAGCACTTAGCAGGCAGGCGATAGTGAAGTGAAAGCACAAGCAGGCACTGGATAAAGCTTAGGAGGCAAGGAAAGCGTCAGCACGTAAATAGGCGCGCGCGCAGCAAAACGACGTAGGGACGGTGCGAGTGTCTTGCGGCGACTGGTTCGGGCGCGCACGCAGTGGCCGCATGCTCCGGCTGCCGTGCGGGCGCAGGGCCGTACTCGATGCAGGGCCGGAATTGGTGTGGTTGAGTGCTCCCACAAAACTTTTTTGGTGGTAGATATTTTTTTTTCTAATTCAACTGAAAATGGCATGGCTTCAATCATAATTTCGGGTAAAAATTTTGTTTCCGCCGTTTTTCGATATAACCGTAATTTTTTATGTAAATGTCTGTTGAAAAAACTTGCTTTGCTTGGCCTGAAAATTGGCACGAAAAGAATTCCAAGATTGTTTAGTAAAAAACATATTTGTGCATTTTTTAAATATGGCCGCCATTAGAGAGTTATTTCAATTTTTTAAAACAATGTAATAAGTGCCGAGGCTGTAGGCCAAGGTCCGCGGAGGGCGAAGCCCGAAGCGTAAGCACGCTATCGCGATGGAGATAATATACGGAGGCGTAATAGATTACGAGTATAAGATCTCACAATTGTAAAAATGTAAGGCATACTTCCCGATGTAGTGGAAATGAGATACTTATATAGCGTTGTTGTATCTCGGTCGTCTCTCCGTTAGATTCCATTTTCTTGAAAGCTATGTCAAAGAGAAGTATAGGGGGAAAAATGCCAAACTGCTGCCGAATTTCCTGTTCTATGAATATCGAAACAACGATAACCCAAAATACTCAGACCAAAGCCAACTTAGAAATTTAATGTTTGTTTCTTAAATTGGCCCAAATCGGGAATCGAATTCCTCATCAAGCGCCCGTAGTACTAACTGTTGTGCCATCGTGGAGCTTGAGCACACCCCGTAAACTGAACCCGACCTCGCTCCGAGGCCGAGTCCGGTACATGGCTCGTTTAGTATCTAATGCTATTGTAGAGAAACATTGTAGAGAAAATTCAATACTATATTAACTCATTTAAACTGGGTCCTGTGCCGAACGGTTACCATGCGAGACTGCCACGAAGAGGTCCCAGGTTCGATTCCTGGGCCGGGACAAATATTTGTATGGCCTACATTTATTTCTCTCGTGAGTTTGAGTGTAATTTGTGGTTGTGTATGTGTGTCCATGGCACCCGCGTGTTTCCCTAGTGCGGGGCTGTGTTGAGTGCGTGCGTTGTTATTATTATTATTGTTAATCTTTTATTTTTTTCAGTTGTTTTCCATCTCCACCTCTTTGGCGTACATTGCGTGAGCAATGCATAAAATGGCGCCACCGTGCCCCTCTGACCGAACAATGGACTCGTGCCTCGCTGTGCCTCACCGCGAGACTATTGAAACACATGTACGGACCTTTGTTCCCCGCTATGCCAATCAGTGAGTATTGGTTGCTATTTTGGCTATTGTAAAAAATGGCAACATTTGTCTCAGTGTTTCATTGCAGCCGTGATGTATTTAAAGAGGGGCTCATGAACACGGAGCAAATATCGTAAAAAGGCTAATGTTAAGTTCTTTAAAATAAATGTTTTTTTTTTAATATTTGCATATTACGATATGCAAAGGAGGACCTAAAATGTATAATTATGTGGAATTTTCAAGTAATACCGTTATTAATATTCAGATAGTAAGAAACGTGAGCACAGTATTTCATCAAATATTTCATTAATCTCAAACTTTAGCAAGTTTGGTGTTTAGAAACGGCCTTAGTAGTCACAAAAGTTACCAACGCGCGTCCCACTGGCTTGGTGGATTTAGTAATTTTATCTCCCAAGACGAGAACCATCAATAGAACATAATAAGAATTGACCAGAACTTATTAACCAACTTCCAATCAGAAAAAATAAATCATTTCCGTCAAGAACTCGAATAAAACCCACTTTATTTGTCAGGCGACGAAGACTCGAACTTAATACCAGCAGACATGAGCGCAGAAGCCGTGATGCAGAGCTGGTATCGCGTCTTGCATACGATCGGAAACCCAGTCGATCTGTGTCGCCCTCACGTCATTAGTCAGACTCCTGATTTCTTACAGGTGAGTAAGAACTACTGTTGTAACAGTAATTATTAGTTATAGTCATTACAACAGTAGTTGTTGTTGTGCGCGCAACCACGCCTACAGACACGCACACTTCGCACCCTCGGTGTAATAATAACAATCTTTTATTTCAAACTGATGTTCATATTTCAATAGTAGCGATTGTCTTATTAAAATTTTATTCATTATTATACAATATACTATCGGGCAATCTACCCGCTTTACAATGGCGTTCAAAGTAATAAAGCCATATCTACAAAATGACGATTTTACAGGAGAGAGGTTGAAAGACTACAAACGTAACTTATACATAATTTGTTTTATGTAGTCCTTGTTATTTTTATGACTGCATGTGATAAAATAACTTTTGATATATGAGCTCATCTAATTTTATTATGTCAAAATTTAAGAACAGTGGCTCTGGTGTAGCAACAGACGCTGGTTCGAGTCCGATTATAATGAAAGAAGTTTTCTTTGTGTTGTTTGATCTTTGTATTAATAATAAAAATCATCTAGGTTTCCTTAACTGAAATGACAAGTTCATGAAATATCTACACAATATAATAGAATCAATTGGCACTAACGATGACGTTCCCTTGTTCTTAGTGAATATACAGCAGTTCACCACCATTGTACAGATACTTCGACGTTATGAAGTCTACTGAGGCTATCATTTACTCTAAACCGACCTATTCCGCTATAAGGTTTGGATACAGCAAGGCGTTATCTGCACACGCGCAAATGTGTGCGTGAAGTGGCAGGGTTACCCATCACTTTCTGGTAATATTACGTTCCGTGGTCAGAGCGGTAACATAGCGAAAATTCTAACGCGAATCTGTCATCCATTATTCTATTAATATAATCCTAATAATTACAAATGTTCATTACGTGTTTATATCGGTATTATATTACATTTTTCATGAATTCTGTAACCAGAATAATATTGAACATTTATTTAAAAATATATTAAAAGCACTTAAAATGTTATATTTTGGACAGGCACCTTTAAATAAGGTAACCAAAGTATTTGAAATTGCGTGTCCAAGTTTATCATTACCTCGTTTATATATAATAGTAATTAGGTATATTCACTACCTAATATTTATCGGCAATACAAATTGAAAATTCGAGAACCCTTGTCTACTAGCTCACGAAGTTATGGCGTCTTATAATATTGATATAATAAATCTGTATTACATATTACTCTGCACTAAAGAATACAATAACTGAATGACTCTCAGACATAAGTTTTTTTTTACTTACTTCGTTTCATCTTTCAGAAAACGAAAGAAACTCCTCTCTTTATCCCGTTTAGATGATTATAAACAGCCGTACTCAGCACAATTCACGACCATTATAAATAGTAACGTAAAATGATGTTCTATAACACACGTTAAGTAATGAATAAATGAAAACTATACATATTTATATATATTCAAATGTCGAAGCCGTCTTAGCGCGAAAACTGCTCGCCGACAGCCTTGATGTCGTTCAGTCAATGTGCGGGGCGAGGTGCGGTATTTAAAGCTAGGAAGGGGCTGTGAGTGCCCGTTCTCGTTACTTTTTGTTCCCGGGTTCGGGCTAAAAAGTGTCCGCACCTGTAGGGCGTTAAAATCGCATACAGAGCGTCAATCGCGCAATAGTCTTCGTTTGTTCGAGTGACAGCGCGGTTGTCAATCATGCAGTACCAATAATAATAACTTGTAAAAATTACAGCAGTAAAGTGTGAAAACAGGATTTTGTATCTTATTTTCACTAAACAAATATATTGTGTTGTCATAGTTGTCATTTAAAAGTGTTATTTTGTACAGTTTTATAGTATTTAATTTATGTACAACTAAATCATAAATATAAATTACAAAAGCACACGTGTTTACTTGTGTTGAAGTTATTTTCAGTCGAAGCTAAATATGGTGCATTCTGTTAAGTTTCCGATAGAAGCTGAATATGGTGTTTTTGGAATTTAAATTGTTGTAAGCAAATTTAGGCAGTACTGCAATGACGTTACAATTTAAATGAAATGTTTTAGTTTTTTATATTTCGTTACATGTCACTACGTTTGTATAGGTTAACCTCGGACATTTTTTTCGTGGTTTTTGTATTAGACCCGATGTCCATTGTTGGTAGGTCAATGGTGGTAGTGAATGAGGTACTGTTAAATTCATGGGATGCTCACTAAAATATACAAAACTTCTTTCTAACAATTTCCAGTACTCAATAACTCAAGAAGACGGTGCTCGCGATCCGAGCCAGCACCCATGCTTGCAAGCCCTGCCTTCCATATTCCACAAAGCTATGAAGGGTATTGCCGCTCACGTCGACGCGTTTCTAGGTACGTCACGATATAATATTACATGGTAATAATGTGGGAAGTGTGTGATATGGGATATTTGAAGTTATTTGAAAATATGGAGGGGTATTGGCCAGCTGGTGTTTAAGGTACGTGTCGACTTTTTTGTCTGTTGATTTCCTTGTAATATATGACGCCACAGACACAGATTACTTAATAGTTACCCACAGATGTTACATAGGAAATCCAGCTTCAATCAAAAGTAAAAGCTGGTCTAAAAATTGAAAACGCCGCTTAAATCATTTGTGATTAGGTACATTTTTTGTCAAATGTTATATTGTGTGTTTATTTTTTTATTGAAACGAATTTAATTGGTCGAGGTCCGTCACGAAGTTACGACATTTTCACGAACGCGTTACTTCTACTGGGAATACAGTCCCTGCTGTTCCTGTTCTACTTTATTTCTATACATGAATACTAGCTCCACCGTTTTGGTATATATACTTTATTGCGGTGTCTAGAGGGTGGAAACTGTCTCACGGGCCTAAATGCTCTATTATTGAAACCATTTTTCGATGGTCTCGGTAAGTTTGATCTGCCGTGACGACAGAAAAACCCAAGAGATTTTCATATGACTTTAAACGTGTGATTTGTTGTGTAACGGCTTACCTTTTCTGTGAATTTGATTGTGACGCTATAGAAATATTTGATATAGTAACTCGAGTAGTTGTAATATACTAAGCTGTTTTTTCTCTACACAAAATATAGTGAGCAGAATACTGACTTCTTAATATTTACTTAATTCGATTTTATGAACCCATTACGCTGAACAATAACATGATATAATCAGTGATTTACGTATCATTTTCATACAACAACAAAAGAGGTTGCCTATCCATCAAAGGTTCAAAATTGAATGAACAGTCCCAGCGAATAAAAATCAATTTCCCTTAACATAATTCATGATAAAAAGTTTGCAACAGAAATTAAAATGAAATGATGCATTTATTTAAATATGTTAAAAAATTGTTGTACGCTGAGAGTGCTTAGGCAAGTTTGTGGACACACTTACATACATTCAGGACAGTGAAAATATAATGTTCATGCTTATGTCTTATAAATTTCTGAACTCAGTATTTACCTCATACTATAATGGGAGTAGAATGTATTGTTTTATTATGTAAACTATGTACGTAATCTGGGATTCTAACATCACAATTTGCCAGACTGCACCATCTTCGACATTTCAACAACTATCCTATTCACATTGGAATCTTTCTTGACATGAATTTCATGCTGTATCGGATTTGATAACGCTAATAATAACGTAATATAGTTGTATGACAATTACATTATATGTGTGACTTTCGCATGTTTATACGCTTTACACTTTAATAAAATAAAAGAAATAAAATAATATGATGGGCTTTTAGTAAACCCACACTGCGCCCAATAACTAAGTTTGAATTTATCTAAAATATTCACTATTCCGAAATTAGAAAGTTGTATAAAAAGATCATTCCTATATGATTTGTCATTTTATCAAATCCGATACAACGCTAAGCTACAAATGTAGCCAATTTCGGGTATGCACTGCACGGGTGGGGCTGGCCGACAGGGCGCGGCATTGAATGGTGGGTGCAAGGCTTTAGCGCGAGCAGCGCAGTACTAGAGCCGCCACAAGAGGAAGGAGACCTCACCCCGCCAGCACACCGACGCCTTGCCAAGTCCTTCAGCGTGTCAACTTCCAAGCCGCGGGATAAGCAACCTGATAAAAGTATGTAGTTTCATGTTGTGTTCATATTAGATGTCAGTCGTGGTCTATATAAGAGTCACGCGGTTTTTTTCGATTTTACATTTATTTTTGTTCTTGCGTCATCTTTACCCATTTAATTCGGGTTTAAGTAACAGAAAAACGAAAAAAATTGCAGTCCTAAACCATTTGTCACTGCCCTGGTAGATTCTTAATACCTAATTATTTTACTACACACGGAACAAATTTTATGGAGTAATTGTATTCATGAAAACAACTTTACTATACCCATACCTCACAGAGCACGAAAAAAGAACCATCTGTTCCATATAAAATGTATTTATACTTACTAAATCGAAATAATATGTATAAAAAGTATGTTATGATTTTTTGAACATTACATTTAATTTCATAAAAGTGTTGCCCGCTGCAAGCAGCAAGCAGTTAGTGATTGCAGTGGATAAATATTCTATTCACTATCGACAGACTGTTCGTTAGGCTTATGCAATAAATTAGAACTTGTTTCATTTGATCATCATCATCGGCCCATTATTCGTCCAACTGCGAGGCACAGGTTCATTTCAATCGTCAATTTTCGTAACTTCATACATACATTGTCATACATTATTACATTTAGAACTATTATAACAATTGAAAGTACAAAGAGATGACATATTTTAAAGCTTTTCATTTTAATTCAATATTAAAATGTATGTGAATAAAAATTTCTTTATTGACAGCATACTAGCAGGCCAACTGTCAAAATAAGAATAAAGGAGGAAATTAACGCAATTAGTAATCTTTAAAACGTCGCGTAACATTCACAATTCAGATATTTTGACAAAATTTTACCTTATTTCACAATCTATCGATAAAACTATCGACAACAACTAATGACTATTAAAATTTTATCAAAACTGGCAACTCTATAAAAAGACTGGCTATATTAATATAGTCGTCACCAAATAAGAGGCCAAATTTGACAGCTAAAGAAAGCTATAGTATCTAACTGAATGCGATCAACGAAACAATAAACATACAATTATTATTATTATAATTAAGTTTAAAAAATCCATAAATTTTATTGTGACGGTATATAATTTTTTAATTATGAAGGCCAAAATAAAATGCAATTTTGATTTACACTGAATCGTCCTAAAAACATTTACGTCCTCAAGCTATTTTTTTAATAATAGCAATAGTAAGCAATTAATCGCCGAATTTCGCCGAGTCACTTCGATTTCTCGAAAAAAATATTGACTTATTAAATATTAAAACAAAAATGTGTACATATAGGTGTATTTTAAATAATTATGTATATTATATCTCTGACCACACCTGCAAATAAATTTATAATTTATCAAATTTAAAAGAGCTAAGAGTAGTACTATTATTATAACCCCTAACCCTAGTTAGGTTGGGGTTGCGCTCCATGTCAAGCAGAATGGTTCACAGACCCTCAGACACCCTTGAACATCTCTCCATACCTAAAAATATGAAATTATTTATTAAAATGACAGCACATCGCTTTGAACGACGCGTCGCAATTGATTTAATTGCAATTGATTTCAATTGAATTGATTTTTTAATCTGATTGAATTATTGATTGAAATTTAATTGATTAACGCCCAACACTGTTAGTGCAACAGGGCCCCCAACAGGGCCCCCAACCGGCCCCCCAACCGGGCCCCCAACCGGTGATCCCAACCGGGGCCCCCAACCGGGACTAACTCACCCCCATATGCCCTATAAATTTATCATAATTGTCAGTTTTAATTGTTAATTGTTAATCAAAAACATTGAAAAGATTGAAAATTGATTAATTGTTAATTGTAGATATTTGCGATTAACGATTGATCAATTGTTAGTTGCGAGAACCGCAATTAACAATTGATTAATTGTCAATTGCGGTTCTCGCAACTAACAATTGATCAATCGTTAATTGCTGTTTCGCTATTAACAATTAATCAATTGTCAATCTTTAATTGCCAGAACAATTAAATTTTGCCCAACACTGTGCACTAAGAGTTTTTGAAAGTACATGAGTGACACATGACACACTTCACTTATACGTCACTGATCTGGAGTTTACCGGATGTACATTTAAATTACATACCAGACCCGCTGCGAAGACAGCGTAGTTTCTACAGGAGTAACGCAGTTATAAGTAGAGTGTCAAATTTGGCCTCTTATTTAGGGGCGACTATAATAACCTGATAATAAACACATATAATAATTGTACTTTGAATTGATACAATTAGTCAACGACTACTGCGTTATTGCCGTAAAAAAACTTTTATAATGTTTTTATTATTTACTTCAAGAAAATATTCCCGATTATTGGGTACCATTTAAAGTTTTGTCTCTGGCCCACAGCAATCACACGGGATTTATGTTTTTTTTTTTTAATTTGATAAATTTGTTATTGCTTTGGGGGTTCGATTTAGACTACAGACAAACAGAAGTTCTGGTACGGGTTACAAGTTTTTAGAAAAACAAACGTTTCGGGCTTATTACAGCTCCCATGGTCACGATTGACTGAAGTTTGTTATTATTAATACAAAATTTAACCAATTATATCATAAAAAGGTGAACACATAATAAGTGTCT